CATGAGGATTTGAGGTTTGGCGAGAGGTCTGGGAGTGGGGGTGGCACAGATTTGGAGTTTGGGGAGGACTTTTTCAACAGAATTTCTTAAAGTGTGGTCCAGGTTCGACCTATATCAGAATCCCCTAGGGTACTTGCTTAAACCGCAGATTCTGGGGCCCCATCTCATTATTGTATCAAAATGTTGGGGGGTGGGCGAAGGCCGAGAGGCTCCATTTTTAATAAACTTGGGAGGAGAGTCTCATATGCACTGACTTATGACACTGAGCTGAGGAACAGTGAAGGTAATTTCTGTCTGTTTACTATCTTTCAGATGAAGGCAGTCATACTTGCCCGTCTGTGGCACTAGCTGATGTGAGGATTAAATGAGATAAATGTGAAGTGCTTGGAAAAGATTAAGATGATTCAAAGGTAGGACCAAGGGAGTCTGTGACATCGGGCAGGGTCCGCAGAACAGGGCAAAAAATGGCAAAGAGGCTGTGGGATGGGGTCAGTGGATTGAAAGGTTTGGGGAAAGGGAGTAAGCTGTGAAGGGAGAGTCCCTGTCACCTGCGGGGTCCGGTGGAGCTCATACAGACTCAGTTCCCACGTTTTGCTTGCATTCTGGGCATTCGCCGGCGTCGTCATGGTGACCGGGCACAGACCCCCCACTAGGGTTCCGCAGCGGTGGAGGAGGAGGAGAGGTAGGCTGGGGAGAGGGGGAAGGGGAAGGGGTGTTAGGGGGGCCGCCCCCGCGCAGACCCCGCCCCTCCGGTGGCTCCCCCCACCCCCATCCGCCCCGCGCCGCGCTGCCCCTCACCCGGCTCCAGCCGTCCGCGCCCCGGTTGCCGCCGCGCCTCTCCCTGGGCCCGGGCTCCCAGCCCCAGTTCGCTCGGTCCGCAGCCGCTGCTCAGACAGCAGCTCCCGCCGCCGCCGCCGCCATGGCCCGGGCGCTGGGGCCCTACGTCACTTCCGCCTGTCCCTCCACTACACCCCCCCACCCCCGCCAGCGGAGACGTCACCCGCCACTCGGGGCTCGGGTGGGACGCGACGTGGGCACCCGGGTACCCGGCCCTCGGGACGCGCCCGCTTCGCGTGTAGAGCCGGCGTCCCCGGAGTCCCGAGCTACTTGGGGACCCCGGTCTCAGTCCCCGGGCCGGCACCGTCGCGCTGCCAACCTTAGCCACAGTTTCCTTCCCGAGGTCCCCACCCGGGGCCTCCGCTCCGGAGGGCGGGGCCTGGGATCTCTTGGACCCCGGGAGGGGACAGAAGGGTTGGAAAAGGGGCCACCTCCCCCACGCCGCGTCCCCTAGCGGCTCTGGGGAACAGCTGCCCCCCTCCCCACAACTTCTTCTCCGTAACCCCAGCCCGGCATTCCGGGGAGGGGAGGGGGGAAGGCTGCAAAGGATCCTCGGCCGCTTCAGTCCTCCAGTCCTGTGAATGCAACTAAATCCGGATGAGCCCGGGATTCCCCTTACCACCCTGGGGACTTGCTCCACCCTCCGCTTTGGCTCTCCCTAGACCCTCCGACCTGCTCTCCCCTCGAGGTTTGGGGGCGGCGGCTCGGGACGTCCAGACTCAACTCTCGGCCAGAGCCATAGACTCGAGAATTGCGTTTGGACAATCAGGAGCCGCGGCCCGGGGCGGGGGAGGGAGGCGCACGGGAGGAACGGGGGAATGGAGACACCACGCGGAAGCAGGGACACACACACAAGATGGGGCCCCTACAGGGGAGGGGGTGTGCGTGTGTGGGTGGGTGGGGGCACAAGGGGCAGAATGTCTGGAGTGGGAAGCGGGCAGGAGCCTTCTCCAGGACTTTCCAGTAAAGGAAGGGGACGGGGAGGAAAGAGAAGAGGAAGGGGCAGAGCGATCCCCATTGAGGGCAGGGGATGAGATTCGGGGCGGGGGTTGGGGGGTGGGTGGAAAGAGACCATGGTGGGCGTCCTGTCTCCTCCAGCCTGGGGTTCCCGGACTTGGGCTGCAGCTGCCAGGGGTAGCCTGTTCTGGGACAAGGCAGCAGTGGGTCCCCTCGCCCCCTCCCCCAGTTCCCCCCTACTTCCCTGTCCTCTCCTTCAGTCCGTGGCCAGTCCTTATGTGGGCTCCAGAGTCGATTAGCGCGGACCCCCTCCCCTTCCTCCTCCTCCTCCCAGCCCCCTCCCTTCTGCTCTCCTCCAGCCCCTTTCATCGGCTGGTCCATTCCCCTAATCCTGGCCCCCTCCCCTAATCCCCCCCCACCCGACCCCAGGCCGGCTGCAGCTATTGTAAGGTGAAGAGAAAGGGGGGGGGGACTCAGAGAAGGGAGAGGGGTGGGGGAGGGCCACCTGTTCCAAGACCCCCTCCCAAGGCCAGACTGGACACCAGGATGGGGCCGTGAACAAACCACCCTTGGGGACCATAAGGACCCAGGGAATTGGGGGGAGGGGATTGGGGCTGCAGGACCAGGGGAAGGGGGTGGGGCAGAGACCCCCTCCCTCCAAAAAGACCCAGAATGTCACGCATACACAGTGACACACACTCTCTCCTCTCATACCCGGCGGCGGGGGTTGCCCTGGGAGACCAGGCAGTGAAAGGGAACAATCCTTCGGGAAAGGGAAAGGAGGGGGAGGTGGGGAAGGGTCTGAGGGCTTAGACACAAGAAGAACCGGAGGTGGCAGGGAAGAGGATTTGGAATTTATTAGGGTCACAAGCACCCCTGCCTCCCATATTCAGCATTCCAGAGCCATACACTGCCACCCCTTTTGTAGCCTGGGAACTCAGAGTCCTCATCAGCAGGAGGCCGGGTGGAGTGGTGGGGGAGTGAGCAGAGTCCAGGGTCCGTGAGGCAGTTACATGAAAAGACCTCCTGGGAGGGGCAGAAACATTTGGATAGATGCATAGGTGGAGACAAATGGGCTGGGGGGCGCCCACTTTGGTCCCTCGCCTATGGGAACTTCTGCTCTTCCCTCAGTGGCTCCAGACTCCCTTCACTTGCTTTCTCTTATCATCTGGGTTCCACTTCTCTGCCCTCTCCCTCCCCATGACGGCCTCGTACCAGTGACTTCCACTGAGGCCCCTGTGATGTATCCACTGTCTTCAGATGCCAAGAATGCAACCACATCTGCCACATCTATGGGAATGGTGGGGAGAAGGCAGAATCCTACTCACTCTCATGGACCCAAAGTCATCACCTCCCACCAGAACCCCTCCCCACCAACACACACACCCCAACCACCACTCCTAGTGAAATCCTCTCAGATAGGACAAACATTGGGATCTCTTCATTCAGGCCCCCTCCCTAGGGCCTCCTCCTCATTCAGTGCTCACCCTCAGGATCCCCCATGTGTCCCATTGGGATCATTCCAGTCACCTGTAAGAAAATATAAGCGGGTGAAAGTTTCTTTTACAGATTTTTTTTTTTTTTTTGTAGGTTGAGTCTGTGACCCTTTTGTCTTCATTCTTTGTACACTTACCGAATATCTACTATTTGCCAGGCCCTGTGCCCAGATTCTCTCTGAAGCCCAGAGAGATTGGGTAACTGAACAATTCCGCCCTCTGCCCTCTACCCATAGCCTCCTACCTTGTCCAGAACTTTCTGTGGCACTTTCTGTGTCATGGGTGTTGTAATGAACCCTGGGAGGACAGAGTTACAGCGGATCCCATGTCTGTGGAAGGGAAAGTGGCTGCTGACTCTGGAGAGGACTGAGCACTGACCTGCCCCCCAGACTTCCCACATGCCTCAGCAAATCCCTCTGTACTCCAGGGGTGTCTGACCAACCGTCCAAGCTCCCGAGCTGCCGTCTGGGTGAGCCCGATCACTCCAGCCTTGGATGCTGCGTAATTTGTCTGTCCCATGTTCCCCACCTATAGGTGAGTCAGAGATTTGGGATGAGTTGGGAGTCATGCCCAACTAGCTGGCTGACCTCATCCCAACTCAATCTGACCTTCCCTATGATGCTACTGATGTTGATGATGGACCCATGGCAACCACTGGACACCAGGGCTTGGGCTGCAGCCTGAGTGACTAGAAAGATGCCCTGGTGAGGAAAGAGTAACAAGGCAGAAAGGATCAGCTGGGGTGACAGTCTTCTTCCAGCTCCCTCCCCCAGGCTGGAGGAGCCAGAAGTCACAGGTTCAGAGGTCGCCACCTTGAGATTGACAGCTATGACTTTGTCCCAGTCATCCTCAGACATGCGGAGCAGAAACTCATCCCTCGTGATCCCCGCACAGGACACAACGACAGACGGCGGGCGAGAAAAGCAGGCCTATGGAAGGGGGCGGTTACACACCAAAACCCAAGTAGAGCCCGGGCAACGGAGGCAATGTCGGCTCTTTAAATTTAGAGGGTGAGGTCCTGTCGCGTTCACCTGTACTTGTTCCAGCAGGCGCCTGACCGCCCCGGACTCAGACACGTCAGCCTGGAAGGCGGCGTGGGCACCGCCGGGCGCCACCTCCTCGCTCCCCTGCCCGCCCAGCAGCCACACCGTCTTGCATGCCGCCGCCTCGTCCAGGTCGCAAGCGGCCACGGTGGCCCCCTCTCTGGCGAGGCGCACACTGACAGCCCGGCCGATGCCGCTACCCGCGCCTGAGGTGGGAGAGAACACGCGGGAGGGGGGAAAAGGGGAGTGGGCAGGGGTCAGAGGTCAACAGGGCGCAAAGTTAGTAAAACTTGGACCGGGGGCCAGAGGTCACAGCGCCTGTAGACGCCAAGGGCGCGCCCCCGACAACACTCCGGCACCCCAACCCGCCTGGAGAGGGCATCCCCTCAACCTGTGACCAGGGCCAGCACGGAGCGGAGCCTGAGCTGAGACGCCATGTCTGGCGGCGGGTGGGCGGGCACCCAGCACTGAGCCAATCCTAGCGCAGAGGGGGCGTGGCAAGAGCAAAGCCGCGCCAATCTAAGCCAGGCCAGCGTTGGGCCATCTGCGGCCACCAGCGCAGGCTGACCTCCCACCGTGGGGGCGTGGCCAGTCACCACCACTTGGGGGCCTGGGGAGTGGGGAGATGAGGGGCCCCCGTTCTTCCAAAAAAGACAAAGACCGCGTGTGGGGCGAAAGATCCGAGGACTTTATTTCCGGTCACCACCCCTACCCCTCGATTCAAACAGTGATATCAAAAGAATAGGAAAAAAAAAAATCAGGCCAGGAGATTAGCAACCCACCTCCCCCCTCAATCACTCCCAAATCAGGACACACGATTGATGTTTAATTGATGTACATCCACAGCTCTTCCTGCTACCCCCTCTGTCCAGGGCTCTGGTCTTCCCTGAAGCTTCCACCAACAGGTGGGAGGAGGAGGCGGACCTTGGAAGAAATCTGTGTGCGGTAGCTTGGTCCTCTGAAAACAGGTTGGGTAGGGTACACGGCATAGGCTGTCATCAACCCCTCTCTTTTCCAGCCTTCTTCATGGCCCCATTTAGCCCCCAAACCCAACAACATGGTCAGCACATGACTTAACACTATGGTCCCTCTGACTTCTCACTCTCCCTTCTGCAGCTCCTGTAAGACTGCAAAATCTTGATGGCCCTAATGCCAAAGTCACCACTTCCCTAGGATACAACTTCCTTTGGCAGATGTCTCTGGCCAGGGCCCCCAACCTCCACAGACCCCTGACCTGGAGGACTTAAGAGGCCAGAGGTTTGGGGCTGGGGTGGGGGCGGTTTACCCCACCTCTCACTCGAGGTGGGCTATCAGCACCATCATGACAACTCCCCCCAGCAGCCCCAACACCTCCAGAAGTGACTGCAATGGTGATGCCTCCCTCAACAGCTCAGGCAACACGGACACCGTTGCTACGTAGATAAAGCCACCTGCAGTGAATGGCAGAATCCAGCCAGGACCTGTACCACCTGCAACTTCACTGCCCACTGCCCCTCCTTCAGTTAGGAGGGCACAGGCTGTGCCTGCCAGCGCCCCTATTGCTGTCAGGAGTTGTAGACGCATCGCCTGGTGGGCAGAAAAGACAGAAAGGTACTCAGCAACATCTAAAGATGATCAGCTGTTAGGCACGTCTGGTGGGGTATAGGTATATATGGGCAGGGTGCGTGTCTTTGGGAACTAAACACTAAGTCAAAAAGAAGAGGATCTAGAAATAGACACTGTCTGTTAAATCTTAAAATATCAAAGAGATCCTTCCTACAGGCCTTTTGATTGAGTAGGTCAGGGTGAAAGACCCTCATAAACCATTTAGATGGTTTGTGGGCCATAGTTGAAGAAATACTCAGCCACAGGACAGAGAAACAAAATTTCTTCCCCCTCACTTCTGGAGGATTTGTTGTTCGTTACAGTACAGCCTGTTTGGAACTAATGAGAGGTGATTGTGGGTTTGGGTGGGTGAACAGGAGGTAAAGCGTTTCAGGCAATCATGTCTGATGCACAGCATCACCAACCTGCTTTTTGCTGCACCCAGACTGAACCAGGATGGCAAAGTCCCCGACTTCATGGGGCACTTCGTGTAGCAGGACAGTCATCGTGGTCAGGATCCCTAGCCCCCGACCTCCTCTAAATGAAGCACCAATGGCCAGACCATCTGTGAAGTTGTGTGCCAGGTCAGCAGCCAGATTCAGGTACCCTGATACACGTAGGTCTTGTACAAGTGGAAAGGAAGACAAAATGATTATCACCCCTAATTCCAGCCCTGGTCAGCCCTTATCACATCTCTCCCCAGAGGTCACTTCACGCCCAGCCCCTTCATGTTTCCCAGACACCTGCCATTGCCCACAGTGCACATTCCATGTGAAACACGATATCCCCTGCCCATGTTTATCAATAACTCTGGCCCTCACCTGAACCTGTTTTTTCTTCTCCAGAATTCTGAGGTCTCACTGGCCCATCTTTGAGCCCTGTGCTTCCTCCTCTCCTCTTCCGAGACCCACCTGCTTCCTTTTCTTCCTCCTCTGAGCTCTGTTTCTCCTTTGAAGTACGCTCTGAGGGAAGAAGTTAGTAAAAGTGGAGGACAGAAATCTCCAAAAATGTCCTCAAAAGAGAAATCCCCTCCCACCTAAGAGCCATAGGATGAGGGGATTCTGAGGCAGGCAAGGTGCTTCTTAAGGAAAGTTGTTCCTGGACCTACCCTGTTTTCCATGCCCATGACTTCCCTGTGTGTGACCATGAGTGTGTCCATGTCCATGACTGTGTCCATGTCCTCCTTTCACATGTCTCACAAATTTCTCCACCACAAGAAAGGCAACAATTCCACTGAGGACCCACAGTCCCACAGACAGAATGGGGCCCTGGCCTGGAAATAGAGGCATTGAGACATTGAGGGAGATGTGGATTCCAGGCTCCTTTTCCCCAAGTACAGGAGGAGAACAGGGAGGGAAAGACCTTCCCCAACATCCCAACACATCTCCATCCACTCCCTTTACCACTGTGAGAGTGTCCATGCCCAGGCTGCTCCAGAGGGTGGTGAGAATGAGGTTCTAGAGAAAGGGAGAGAAAAGGTCAAATGAGAAACGCATGCCAAGTGGCATGCATTTGGGGGAATACTGGAAAGTCTGGGATGACAAAGGGGAAAAGAACCCTTTTGCCCAAAGAATAAAATATATTAAGATTTGCGTTAGTGGCCAAAGATCACTTACCCAGGGCGTGAGGGATAAGGTGCAGAAACGCATCTCCCAAGAGCCCACCCGAAGCAAAACTGAGTAAGATCTGGAGCAGAGAGCGGTGCCGGGGGGAGTTTGATTCCACAGGGATAAGAAAGAGGACAAAAAATGGAGCTGCAGAGATCAGAATGGTGGCCCCCAGTGCCTGGTGAGGAGAGAGTCAGGGGTCAAGTGGTGCGGGGCTTCCCAAATGTCCAGAACCGGCCCCTCTCTCCCCCATCCCTTAGGGACTCACATAAGCCCAGAGAGTGACAGTGTCCAGGTCCTGCTTGATGCCTGGAGCCCCAGACTCCCCATTGCCTCCATGGCTGTGCTCATGGTCATGTCCATGTCCTCTGTGGTAGAGGCTCTCATGTGATTGGCCATGGCTATGGCCATGGTGCAAATCCTCATGTGAATGTCCATGTTCGTGACCGTGGGTATGCCCGTGCCAGATGCTCTCGTGAGTGTGGCCATGGCCATGAGCATGACTGTGTCCATGGTGGAAATCCTCAGGTGAGCGCCTGTGGCTGTGGCCATGGAAGTCCTCGTGCAGGTCCTCGTGCAGGTCGCCATGACCCCCGTGTCCGGCCACTAGCAGCCCCAAGGCCGCCCAGGTCAGCAGTCCCACGGCCACCCAGTGGGGGGCCCCCAGGCCTCTGGCCATCACGCTGACCAGAGGGACAGAGACAGTGACTCCACTTGACCCTCAACTCTACACCTATGAGGGATCAGCTTTACTCCGTTCGTGCCCTCCGTCCACTTCTATGGGCCGCTACCCCATTCCACCGTCCCCACCCACATTGTTCCCAAGACTCGGTCTTTTTATCTCAAAACCCCTCCCGGATATAGGGACCCCGGGACACCGCTCTAGGCTTTGATCCTCCACTTTACGGACTCTCTGGGCCCTCGTCTCTATGATCCAGTAGGTAGTGGAAAAGGCCTGGAAGGACGGTAGGGTAAAGCAGGGAATTCTCACCGGCTTCGGGATCCTCTCCTTTCCCGGTTTGCTTGGACGTGGCAGTCCCACCCCTGGCTCCCGCGAGAGCAGGAAGTTCCGTTCCACCTCGGTCCCGATACCTTTACCAATATGGTGGCACTCTGGTGGCGGCCGAGCCGCCCTGCTCTGGCGCGCACGCGCGGGCGTGGAGGTTATTTGAGGGGAGGTTGGGCGAGGCCCGCTAACAGGGCCGAGGAGACCGCCTCCTCCGTTTCCAACTAGACGAGGGGGCGGGAACTAGCGCGGAGACTTCCCGTCTATACCAAGATGGCTGCCATATCGGCGCTGTCATTTTGGTACAGAGCAGAGAGAAGCGCTTAATTCGACCCGGTTCAGGCCAGAGTCTTTTTCTCTGGGGCTTCCTCGTGCTCAGCTAGTCCCTTGGTCAATATCTGGGAATCCCTGGTACCTCTTCGGTATCCTTACACTCAGCCAAGAATCATGTCTTGGGCTGCTCGCCCGCCCTTCCTCCCCCAGCGGCATGCCGCAGGGCAGTGTGGGCCGGTGGGGGTGCGAAAAGAAATGCATTGTGGGGTCGCCTCCCGGTGGCGGCGGCGACGGCCCTGGCTGGATCCCGCAGCGGCGGCGGCGGCGGCGGCGGCAGCAGCCGGAGAACAACAAACCCCGGAGCCGGAGCCGGGGGAGGCTGGACGGGACGGGATGGGCGACAGCGGGCGGGGTGAGTGTCCTAGCGGACGGACGGGCGAACCAGTGACCGCGTTATCTGCGACCCCTCCCCCGCGTCCCCTGGCGCTCTTTCCCTGGCGCTCCCGCCCCCTTGTTTGTAAACATGCGTCCCCTCCCTCCCGAGGGCCTTAGCGCCCTCCCCCCCCGGGGCGGGGCGGGGAGGGGGAGCTTCCGCCCTTCTAGCTTTGGCTATTTGAGGCCCTACAATCTGGAGGTCCCGGGCGTGGGACACGAGTCCTCGAGTTTGGGGACTGTGGACGTTTGAAGGCAGATCCTGCGTCCTAGGAGGGGGTCTCTTCCGCCTCTTTTTCTTGTACAGTCGGGCTACAAGCTGGGAATGGAGGGGCCGTCAGTTGCACCCCACGTGCTGCCCCACCCACATAAGACATGACTGGCTTGGGGTGACCAAATGCATTGCTTGGAATTCTCCCTTGCCTGAACTAGCCTGTCTTTTTTGTCAAGCCCCTCCTCTCACCACAATTAGGAGTTAAGCCCTTGTTTGACAACGGGGTGTTTCTGGACATGAGGGATGAGTGGGGTGGGCTGGGGTGGGGTGCGGTGGGGGATTAGAGAGAGAATTAAAGTCTCCAGTTGGATGATCTATGACTCATTTTCTCTTTTTGTCTTTCTGTCTGTGTGTCTCTGTGCCTGTATGTACCCCTCCCTCAGACTCCCGAAGCCCAGACAGTTCCTCCCCGAATCCCCTTCCCCAGGGGGCCCCTCCCGCTTCTCCTCCTGGGCTACCCCTACCTCCGTCAGCAGCCTCATCCCTTGGAGGTTCCGGGGCCCCACCCCCACCCCCGATGCCACCCCCCTCACTGGGCTCCCCTTTCCCGGTCATCAGCTCTTCCATGGGGTCCCCTGGTCTGCCCCCTCCAGCTCCCCCAGGATTCTCCGGGCCTGTCAGCAGTCCCCAGGTGAGAGGTCATGGCTCACTGACTGCCTCTCCACTTTCATTTCCTTGTTCTCCTTGTGACCCCAGATCCTTGTGTGAACTTCCCCATGGTCCACTGACCTTCCAGTCCTCTAATCCTGGCAGGCCTGTGGTCCTTGTGAGACCCTTTGCCCTTCCTGAGGTGACTGATCTTTCAGTGCATGCTTCCTCCCCAGCCTGTAAAAGAACCCTGAATATTCTGATGTCCCTTTCATCTGTCAGTTATTTTTGCCCTTTTTGTCCCATCTGCCATCCTGAGATACATGCCCTTCAGGGCCCCTGTATTGCACAATTTCAGGGAGAACTGTATGTCTAATCTCTTTGCGGTTGTGCTCCAGGGGTGGCCCTTCACAGACTGCAGTGTAAATAATGTCCTCTGTATGTGCAATGCAGGGCCCTGCCTAGGTGGTAGGGGATGATTTCCATGACCTCTGAGAGATTCTCCTTCCCAATGAGTCTCCCTGTGACTTCCCTATTTCCCCCATCCCAGATTAACTCAACAGTGTCGCTCCCTGGGGGTGGGTCTGGCCCCCCTGAAGATGTGAAGCCACCAGTCTTAGGGGTCCGGGGCCTGCACTGTCCACCCCCTCCAGGTGGCCCTGGGGCTGGCAAAAGGCTATGTGCCATCTGCGGGGACCGAAGCTCAGGTATGGGGCTCATTTGATCACCAGAGAGGAAGAAAGAGGGTGATTGACATTTATTTACCATCACCTGTGGGATTCCCAGGGGCTCACGGGTTGCATTGGAGCAAGTGGGTGGGGGGAAGCCTGGTGACAGGTAAGGGACCTGAAGCTCAGATATGGGATGGGGGATGGTCAGAGGAAAGCGGGGGCTGGTATAGGGTTTTTGAACAGTGAGGAGTGTGGGACTGGATCATCCCTTGTGTCCGGGCTCCCCCATCTCTGGATTTGGCAATGGATTTAAGCTAAGTTTGCTGGGGGGGAAGCTGGCAAGAGACATAATGGCAAGGGACGCCCGTGCAGCCTTGTTGCTCTTCCCCTCGCCTTCTAGGCAAACACTATGGGGTTTACAGCTGTGAGGGCTGCAAAGGCTTCTTCAAGCGCACCATCCGGAAGGACCTGACCTACTCGTGCCGGGACAACAAAGACTGCACCGTGGACAAGCGCCAGCGCAACCGCTGTCAGTACTGCCGCTACCAGAAGTGCCTGGCCACCGGCATGAAGAGGGAGGGTAAGGGCCCGCCAGCCAGGCTTCCCTGGGCTACCCTGTGGGAGAGGAGGGAGGAGGTGGAGGGAGACTGCAGGAAGGGCGAACCTGCGCCTCTCTCGGGAGGACGGCACTGTTCCCTCTCCTCCTCCAGAGGGCGATATTTGATGTCTCTCTCCCATCATCAGTTCTTGTCCCTGGTACCCCGCTCTGTTCTCTAGAGTTTCCTTCTTAGTGGAGGTGCTTCTCTGTGGCCTGCCCCTAGGACCCGTCCTCCCGTCCCTAGTGCTAGGGTAGGCTAAGCTTTCCTTACCCACGAGGGCCTTCTCTGTCTCCCCTTCAGTTACCTGAATAGTCCTCCTCTTTGACCCAATGGTTGCGTGTCTGTGGTCCGTCCTCCAAAGTCTGGGCCTCTACTCATTTAGAAAGTTACAGACTTTACTGAAGACCTCAGGGATGCCTTCCTTTTTCTTTTTCTTATCTTCTTAAGTCTGATTCTGGAATTCTCAGACACTTTGAGTGTCTCAGTCAAGTCCCTCATTTTCAAATGCGAAGATGAGCCTGAGGCCTGGTTTTCCCAAGGTCATGTAACAAAGGAGGGGCAGGGCTGGGATCAGAATCCATCCTTGAAGACTCAGGCCAGTGATCCTTTCACTGCTCTTTGTTGTATCAGAAGAGCAGCAGATTTCCAGTCAGGCACCCTTGGGTTTAGATGCATGACTTGCCGTGTATTGCGTGAACTTGGGCAAGCTATCTAGCTTCTCCAAGCCCTGCATTCTTCATCTTTAATAACAGAGATAAGAGCTCACAAGATTCTTACAGTAATGGACGGAACATTAAAATTCGCTTTCACGTTTCTGAGCACGTAGTTGGTCCTCAGTTTAAACGTTAGCTTTCTCCCTCATCCTGTACCTTCCCTTCCCCTCCTCCTTCTTGGTTTATTTATCTGCCCTTTTATAAGCCCTGTTTCCAGACTGCCCCTAGTCCACCGTTGCTAGTGACGTCCCCAATTCCTATAAATATCTCCTAAGGGCCGTGAGAACCCTGATAAGACCCTAAGGACATTTCAGAACCCCTCACGGCTGACTGTTGACTTTCCCCCTTTTTCTTTTCCTCCTCTTCCCACCCCCAGCGGTACAGGAGGAGCGGCAGCGGGGGAAGGACAAAGACGGGGATGGGGAGGGGGCTGGGGGAGCCCCGGAGGAGATGCCTGTGGACAGGATCCTGGAGGCAGAGCTTGCTGTGGAGCAGAAGAGTGACCAGAGCGTTGAGGGTCCTGGGGGAACCGGGGGTAGCGGCAGCAGTGTGAGTGATGGGGTCAATCCAGTCTCTTTCCTGATGGGGGTGGGGGATGGGAGTCTAGGTTGGTTCTATTTCCCTCTCCTCTCCCTCCCAACCTCCCCCCCCCCCCCCCCCCCCCCCGCCCCAAACACGGCCTGGGACTGGAAGTGCTGCCAAACGAGGTCTCTCAAACATCTGAGGTGGGTGTGATAGTTTTCTCTGTCCCCATCCCAAAACAACCCAGTGGCAGAACCACAGGCAAGTCCTAAATACGTAATTGTTTTCACGAATGCCTGAGGAGAAGCCTGACTTACAAGGATTGGTTCAGATGGTTTTGAAGGGAGACTCCTTTAAGGAGGTGGTATCAGAAATGTCTCACAAGGGGGGGTCTTCCACTGTACCTCCAGACCTTCCATAACTCTTACCCCCTCATCCCCTGCAGCCAAATGACCCTGTGACTAACATCTGTCAGGCAGCTGACAAACAGCTATTCACGCTTGTTGAGTGGGCGAAGAGGATCCCACACTTTTCCTCCTTGCCTCTGGATGACCAGGTCATATTGCTACGGGCAGGTCAGTGACCTTGGATCCCCCTGAGCTCTTGACATATGACCCCTACTCGACCTTCTGACCTTCAGTGACCCCAGTGCATACTTACATACCAAGGGGGCCAAGTTCATTGACCTCACCGCTTCTTCTTCTCTTCCCCTGATACGCTTTGAATCCCATGGTCTGCTCTCTGGCTCCTGACCCTTGCTGCCCCCAACCCAGGCTGGAATGAGCTCCTCATTGCTTCCTTCTCCCACCGATCCATTGATGTCCGAGATGGCATCCTCCTCGCCACAGGTCTTCATGTGCACCGCAACTCAGCCCATTCTGCAGGCGTGGGAGCCATCTTTGATCGGTCAGTGGCCCTCGGCTGGGCTGGCCTGTAGGTAGAGGGGGTGGGGCTATAGGCTGGTCCGTGTCCAAGGCTGGCTGAGCTGTGACCTTTGAGTGACCTGCAGGTCCCTCTCCAGGGTGCTGACAGAGCTAGTGTCCAAAATGCGTGACATGAGGATGGACAAGACAGAGCTTGGCTGCCTGAGGGCAATCATTCTGTTCAATCCAGGTAAGAGGAGGATCACCCCTGTCTGTCAAGACCAAGGCAACCTTGGAGCCTCCTCTTCTCCAGAGACTCCTAAGTTACCCAGCTATCCCCCTCAACCCGGAAATCTCCCAGCTGACCAAGAAAAACCCACATCCACTGATACATTCCCCTTTGACCCCATTCCATAACTTGCCCTGCTTCCCTTGCCAGGCATCTGGTAAAGGGCCAGTAGGTGGGGCCCAGAAGGGACATTGTGTGGGCCACATCTCCACATTTGTCCTGACTTGATTTGTCTTCCTTCTT